GTCCTTAATAAAAAGTTACATTTGTAGGGTTATCCAAAAGGAACAGAACTAGAGTCTACACATTCCCCAACCATAGTGAAAGAACAGAATAAAAAGAAATAACATCTATATGCTGATGACTCTCAAATTTGTATCTCCATTTTGGACTTCTCTGAACTTCAGACTCATGTGACTTTTTGCATTGTTGACATCACCACTTGAAAGCCCATGAGACATCTCAAACATAGCACATTCAAAGTAGAACTCTCAATACCCTCACCCACTCCCTGCCAAACCTGCTCAGTCCTAGGCTTCTGAGTCTGCGTGAACAATATCACCTGCCACCCACATGCTTAAGCTAAAAACCTAGGATCACCCTGCATTCCTCTTTCCCTCTCTCCTTCTCCTCTTTTATTAGTTAGATTTTTTTTTTTGGCTGCAAATAATGAAAAGCCTAAGTAACAACAGCTTAAACAATGAGGGTATTTATTATCCCACAAGAATTCTGAGTGTAGGGCGGTTCCAGGGTTGCTTCAGTGATGTCACCAATAACCCAGTATTTCCAGCTTTCTGCTCTGGCATCCTCAATGAGCTGGTGACAGCTTCGCTCATGATCACAAGATGCCTGCAGCAGCTCCAAGTATCATGTCTCCAATTGACACAGGAAAAGGGGGGTTTCCCCCCACATCTCTTTTTATCAGGGAGAAACCCTTTCCTTAAAGCATCCTTGCAGACTTCCCCTTTTAGCTCACTGGCCCCGTTCCTAAACCAATCTCCGGAAGGAGGGACTAGAATTACCATGAATGGTTTAAACTGCTCTCTACTCGCTCCTAGGTCTGGGGAAAAGCCATCTTCCTTGAGCAAGTGGAAGGGGAGTAATTAAACAAATCAGGACCCTGCCAGCAAAGAAGAAGTGGAGGCAGGGGGCAGGTAAGGCTGTTGGGTAGGTCTGCTCACACATTAGCACGTCCCACTACTTTGAACCCAGCCACCTCCCACCGTCCCCACTCTAGTCCAAGCCCCACCCCCCATTTCTGGATGCCTACAGTAGCCTCCTAACCAGTTTTCTGCTTCTACTCTTGAACCCCTATAATGCAGTCTCCACACAGCAGCTGTAATAATCTCTCTCAAACACAAAGTAGGCAGTGGTGCTTGCTTAACCCTCCTATTGCACCTGTCATAAAAGCTGTTCTCCTTCCAAGTCCCTTGAGCTCTGTGATCTCATCTTGTATAGCTCTCCCCTTCCCTCACTCTGTTTCCTTGAACACGTGGGGCTCACTCCTACCTATGGACCTTTGCACTCACTATTTTCTCTGCCTGGGGCGCTCTATCCAGATCCCGCGTGGCTAACACCCTGTCATGCCCTCTCAGCTCCAGTGTCACCTTCTTAGAGAGCCGCTCCTTCTCAGCAGCTGCCCCCACCTCCCATCTCTTTTGGGGCCATCTCTTGTCCCGTTCTGTTTTCTCACATGCGATGGCTCTCTGAGATCGTCTTATTAATTTGTTATGTGTTTGCCCATGAAAATGTCAGCTCCTTAAGAGCACAGACTCTTTTTGTCCACCACTGTAACCCTGGCACCCGGTACAGTGCTTGGCACATAGTGGACACTCAATAAATATTTGTTGAAGGAATTAGAGTATTGACTGCCTCTTATTTTATAACTTAGGTACATTAATATGCTTTAAAAATCTGTCTCGTTATTCCGTTTTACATAAGGCTTCTTCCCCCACCTGCCTCTCTCTAGAGCTGGTGAAATCTCGGTTGACCCGGAGCCCAACTGGGAGTCCAGTTGGGAGAAGTTAAAGTGCTAGACAAGAACCCGACTGGTGTGACTCAGTGGTTGAGCATCAACCCATGAACCAGGAGGTCAGAGTTCAATTCCCAGTCAGGGCACATGCCCGGGTTTTGGGCTCGATTGCTAGTAGGGGGCATGCAGGAGGCAGTGCATCAATATTTCTCTCTCTCTTCCTTCCACTCTCTGAAATAAATAAAAACATGTTTTAAAAAGGTTAACAAAGTGCTAGATAAGAGAGTTTGGGGCCTAGTGGGTAGGCCCTGAATTCCTCCATCTGAATAATAATTCCCAGGATGACAATTCCTGAGGTCTGTGGCTTCATGAATCAGCCCTGTAGGAGCCTGGGCTTCCTTACCTTTGAAGTGCTGGTTGACTGTGTCTTCTCTCTGGGGATCTTGGCCTCTTAGGTCCAGGTGGAAGAGAGAAGACTTCAGTCTACAACCCAAATCAGAGTCAGCCATGTTGATATTCAGGGTCACTCCCTAGTAAACTGTGATGAGAAGGACTCTGAAAAAGCCCCACTAATTGCCACAGTGACTGAAATTTCACAGTAGCAACTACTTCCTGGATAGGGTTGCTACATAAAATTCTCTTATTTGCTAAATATGGCATTCCTATTCCAGGTCATGGTTGCTATTTGGAAAAATGACAGACGAGATGTTGTGTGGTTTCCAGGCAGCATTAGGGTCCATTTGAGGTCATGAATTCGAAGTCAGATTCATCAGCTTGGTTCTGGGTTTTTCCACCTATTTCGCTGGGTCAGTACAGGCACAGACTTGGTGAAGAAATGAATTATGTAGGGTTGTGGTTTAGTCAGATGAAGCTGCTGAAGCTAGAGGGAGGCCAGGGAGTTGAGGGTATGCAAGAGAATGGTCACCACTGCAACTGAACAAGGGAAGGAAGAAAACAGAGACCCAGCATGGGGATGAGGGACAGCGACAACTCTGCCATGTGGAAAGCGGAGAAGCACGGAGCTCGAGTCCCAGATTCTTAATTCTACCACTGATTAACCCCCATGTGACCTTGGGCAAGACATCGTGGGAATGGAGGCCCCACCTTGGCTACCTCACAAAGTTGAGGGTCTCAAAGGAGATAAGGGGTGAAGCAGCCTCAAGAACTACAACACAGAATACAAATGTGAGAGATTAACATTTTTATTTCGTAACTTTGCCTAAGGCCATAGGGCGAGTCCTTCGTTGGAGAAATCAGGGCAGACAAGACCAGCAACAACTTGCACTGAAATAGGGAGAGACTCCGACAAATAGCCCCGAGCCCTGCTCATCAGCTTGTTTTCCCCATGGAGAACAGCAGCAATTCTGGACAGAGCACTTAGAAAGTTTATGTTGTTTAATCCTCACAATTCCCCCTCTTCCCATTCTACAGATGAGAAAATTGAGGCAAAAAAGTTAAATGCTAGAGCTGAGGCTAAAACCAAGCTCTTATTCCCTATGTTCTATGACAGAGCTCCCACCCAAAGGCCCTGAGGTTGATCTCCTGTCCGAGGACTCCTTGTTCTAGTTCGCCACAGACTCGTCATAGCCCCACCTACACTCCACCTCCCTCCCCTATTTGGGCCCAGGACCAGGACTTGCCTGCTGCCTGGTAACCAAGTCAACAGGCCTGCCCTCCCGGGGATGTTTCTAACAACATTTCCACCCTGAGAGCAGACCAGAGCGTATAGGAGGCCAGAGGCTGTGGGTCTCTCACGAACCCATCCCTGTTTTCCATCTAGCAGCAGACAGACGACCCCAGTCAGCACTCAGCCAAACAGCATGGTGAGCAGAGATGGGGTGCTAAGCATGCAAGTGAGGGTCCCAGTAGGCCCAGGTGGGTGGTGTGAGGAATCTCTGGGAGTCAGGTACTCATGGGGCTACAGTGTGTGGGCAGGTGGGGTAGGGACGGGGAAAAGAGACTTCCAGATGTGTGTGCCCCTTCCCAAATGTGCTGATATGTGAGGGTATGTGCAGGGGTGAAGAAGGACAGGGTGATGGTAGCCAGGATGTGTGTGTGTGTGTGTGTGTGTGTGTGTGTGTGTGTGTGTGTGTGTTTCCTGAGCCTGGACTCAGGAACAGGGCAGCTAAAGGGCTCTGAATTTGGGGTAGTGAGTGTGGGGTAAGCAGGACTGGAGCACAAAATGTAGGCACTGCCCTACACACCCTGGGCCCCATGGCAGATTCACTGTGGTCCCATCTCCCAGCTGTGGGGATACACCCTCACAGCCCTGCCCAACTGCAGTTACATATTAGGCGGGGAGGGAGGAAGGGGAGAGAGGAGAAGGAGAGGGAGGGTGCTTCCAGTTACCCAGAGTTGTCTGGGTGTGGGATCATTTGATATCTTTAACCTGTCTCCCACACAGGCAGGATAGAAGAGCAGTTAAGGACATAGTTGGAGCCAGGCTGTCCCTGCTTTGAATATTCCTCATTTTGCTCATGACCTTGAACTAGTTGCTTAACCTCTTTGAGAGTCAGTTTCCTCATCTGTAAAATGGGTTAATAAAAATACCTACTCAAAGGGGCTGTTGTGAAGATCAAATGAGATAATGTATGTGAAGCATTTAGCATAGTTTCTGGAACTAATTAATGCTTAATATATGGGACCTAATCAACATAATGACAAAGCCTGCTGGGTACAGGTACGAGATTGTGCTATTTTCACAGTCAAGAAAAAGGAGCAAGGGCAGCAGGACAGTGTCTGACTTTGTAGACAGAGCCCGGCCAGGCTCGGAGGTGCAGCAGTTGTCCCTGGCCTGGCCAGGTGGTTGGTGAGCTGAGAAGCTGAGTCAGCTCTCTCTTCTGGACCTGCGGATTTCTGAACTCCTGTGTCCTTAAATCCCTCCCAGACTAATTCGTTAACTTCTCTTACTATGCTCAGTGATTAGGGGCTGAGGGGTTTAGTAGGGGGACCCAACATATGGTGCACCCTAGAATGTGTCATGAAATGAGGCAGGCAACATGCATGCATTCCTTCACTTAATCCTCAAAGAAATTCTAGGAGGGGGCTCTTATTATTGCCCCCCTGTCATAATGGAGGACATCAACAGAGAGGCTAAGACTTGCTCTAGGCAAGTACAGAAGTAATGCGGCTGGGATACAAATGATTTATGGATTAATCCTAGTCATCTAAAAATCATAAGTCAGGGCCCTTATATCATACTAGAGGCCTGGTGCATGAAATTCGTGCACTGCGGGGGGGGGGGGGGAGGTTATCCCTCAACCCAGCCTGCACCCTCTTGCAGTCTGGGACCCCTCGGGGGATGTCTTCCTGCCAGCTTAGGCCCGATCCCCCCTCCCCTGCAGTCCAAGGCTCTCGAAGTCTGGGACCCCTCACTCCTTACTGTCCACCTGCAGCGGAGGTGGGAGATGCTCCCACCACTGCCACTGTGCTAGCCAGCCGTGAACCTGGCTTCTGGCTGAGCGGCGCTCCCCCTGTGGTAGCGCACTGATCACTAGGCGGCAGTTCCTGTGTTGAGTGTCTGCCCCCTGGTGGTCAGTGCACGTCATAGCCACCAGTCATTCCACCGGTTGGTCGATTTGCATATTAGGGTTTTATTATATAGGATAAAAATGTCAGTGACATGTTAAATTTATGGAGAAAGTATCCTCATTAAAAAAATGTACAAACTATTTTAGATATGTAAAAAGCTATAAAGAATAATCTAATGAACACCTGTTACCCACTTTAAGAAATAGGATCTCAAAAAAAGAAAGAAAAAAAAGAAAGAAAGAAAAAGGATCGCTTTCCAATTGCATTCATCTCTACCAGAGAGAACCATTATTCCAAATTTGGTTAATACTTTCCTTTGCTTTCTTTATTTTTGCAATATATACATTTTACAAGACTATATAGTAAATATATAAATTTATCTGTCAATCGCTGAAACCGGTTTGGCTCAGTGGATAGAGCGTCAGCCTGCGGACTGAAAGGTCCCAGGTTCGATTCCGGTCAAGAGCATGTACCTTGGTTGCGCGCACATCCCCACTGGGAGATGTGCAGGAGGCAGCTGATCGATGTTTCTCTCTCATCGATGTTTCTAACTCTCTATCTCTCTCCCTTCCTCTCTGTAAAAAATCAATAAAATATATTTTTAAAAAAATTTATCTGTCAATGATGCATAGTATTGGTTATATAAATGGTATCACATTATATGATTCTTCTTAATTTGAGATACATCACTTTAGGCTTCTACTAGCAGTGTAAGAGTTCCCATTTCTTCACATCCTCTGTATTGTTAAGCCTTAATTTGGGGAAACTTGATAAATGCGCTCATTTTATTTGTAAGGTCTGTGGAAATTACTTCTCAAGCAGAGAAGTACTCTGGTAGTACCCAGGGAAGTGGTCTGGGAGACGTCTCTGGTACCCCACTGACTACACTGTCACACATCTGTTAACTTACGAAACTCTCCCTTCTTTAGACAGTGAGCTTCTGGAGGGCAGGGACTGAGTAATAGGTGTTATGTGTCCTCAGTGTCAGCACAGTGTGCGGTACATAGTAGAGGCTCAATAAATCTTTGCCGAAGCAAGAGAGTCAAGCCTTCTTGATTCTCATGGGACTCCCCAGGAAGGACACTGACCTTTCTCTTTTCTTAGACCAAAAGTCCTGTTTCAGGGGCCAAGGGTTCTTTGACCACCAGCCTTGAATCATGTAGGGAAGACTTTTCTTTCCAGTCCCACCCCACTCCAGAGCCATGCACACCCAAGAGGAAAGATAGCACATGCATGTCGATTCCAGGCCCTCTTTTTCCTTTCTCACTGGCATTTCTGGCTGTCACATGAATCCAGAGTTCTTTCTGCTTCTATAAACCTCTTCCTTATCCTTGACTCCTGAAACTTCACTTGGATCTTGCTTCCCTCACCAGTGGCCACTAATTTCTTTCTGAACATGAGTGGGTTGACTTTGGTTCTCTGCCAAACTCATTTGATCCCCTCAACATTCCTCAAGATGCTTAGTCCCTGAGCAAGACTCCATAAGCTGAGAACTGCCCACATCTTCTGCTTCCCCTGAGGGGTTTGGCCCAGCCCCCAGAACCAATGCCTGTTGGTCCTCAATGCCACCTGTAAATGCTTAGCCACAGGGGGTGGGGCAAGGAGAGCAGAGTCCAAGAAACTTTGCCCTCAGCCGGAGAACCACTCAAGGAAGGCAAGAAGGCAGGAATTGTGTCCAGGTATGATACGTTTCTCTCTGCTGAGGGTGTTTTCTGCCATTTGTCTGCTCAGCGTGAGTGTATCTCAGTCCATGTGGGCCAGGCCGGCGTGCAGATTGGCAATGCCTGCTGGGAGCTCTACTGCTTGGAACATGGAATCCAACCAGATGGGCAGATGCCCAGCGACAAGACCATCGGAGGAGGGGATGACTCCTTCAACACCTTCTTTAGTGAAACTGGGGCTGGAAAACATGTGCCCCGGGCTGTGTTTGTGGATCTGGAGCCCACTGTGATTGGTGAGTGATGATCCATCTCTTCCATGGCCTTGTCCCGGGCACCACAGCAAGTCCTTCTCTACAACTGGATAGCACTGGAGTGTGTGGTTCCCAGTTACTGCAGCCAATTAGAACTCCAGATCTGCAGAGCCACTGTCACTCAGCTCTAGAGTTTCAATGTTATCCCACATCCCTTTCCTTTTCTTGATGAACACGTAAAGTCAAGGGCAATAGCAGCAACCTGAATGGGGCTCCTCCAGGGTAGGACTTGGAGCCTAGAGATGCCACTTCTCCTGGGTACCCTGGGGCTCTGGGAGCCAGGCTACAAGAGGAGTGGGGCCGAATCCTCTGTTCATTGCAGATGAAGTTCGGACGGGCACCTACCGCCAACTTTTCCATCCAGAGCAGCTCATCACAGGCAAGGAAGATGCTGCCAATAACTACGCCCGAGGCCACTACACCATCGGAAAGGAGCTCATTGACCTGGTGCTGGACCGGATTCGGAAGCTGGTGAGAGAAGGGCTAAAGGCTGGGGATTCTTGTTGTGGTTTGGAGGCCAGATAGGGGAAGGGCAGCTTCAGCCCTTGGGAGAGCCTCCTGAAAAAGTCTTAAACACACAGGATCAGGGCCCTGCATCCTGGTCAGGGGAGGCAGCGTATAGCTGCAGCCCGGAGCTGGATGTCTTCTTTATCTTCTACAGCAACAGGCCCAATCCTGGGCAGCATGGCCACCAGGGCAAACCTGTCCGTGGGCTGCCTGGCCAAGTGATGAAGGCCTTGTGTTGTAGGGGTGAGGGCAGAAGGCCTTACGAAAAGCAGGGATCCAAATCATGCTGGCCCAGGGCTCTGTGACTGACTTTGGGGATAAGTTCCTGGGTTGTTGGAGAAACCCTCCAGAAATATCTGGAGTTAAATCAGGGAGACACGGGTATGGGTAGAGCTGGCAAATGGTGATGACAAACATGATTATGTTACAAGATTCAAGAGAGCTGTTGGTTAGAGACCTCAGGAGACTTTAGAGAGGAAGAGGGATGAGGAGGAGAGAGTGGGCCGACCTTATCAGGCCCTGTTTTGTGCTCTTGGAAAAAGTCTTCCAAGGATTTTATGACCCATGGAGGGAAGGTGAAACAGCACAAGCTGGTTCTTTCCCGTTTGTCAGCTGTGCTTCATACCCCACATTTCTCTTCGCCTTCACTTTCTAGGCTGACCAGTGCACAGGACTACAAGGGTTCCTCATCTTCCACAGCTTTGGAGGGGGCACCGGCTCCGGCTTCACCTCACTCTTGATGGAGAGGCTCTCTGTTGATTATGGCAAGAAATCCAAGCTGGAGTTCTCCATCTACCCAGCCCCCCAGGTGTCCACAGCTGTGGTCGAGCCCTACAACTCCATCCTGACCACCCACACCACCCTGGAGCACTCAGACTGCGCCTTCATGGTGGACAACGAAGCCATCTATGACATCTGCCGCCGCAACCTGGACATCGAACGCCCCACCTACAC